ATGAGATTTACCTCCTGGGGCCTTGCCTACTCCTGGGCATCCTGTGCACAGAAGAGTACACCATCCCGGAGGCGTGGTCTTGATCATGTTGCTTCCATTATTGGGGTTGATGTTGTCAAAGCCAAATGTGCTGGTTCTTGTGGTTCTTTCGTACATCAACCTTTGACCGTTTGAAACACTTGCTACTGGCACAAGCCTGTCTTTAGTATCATTCGACCGTGAGCCCGACTAGCGTTTGCATCGTTAGGTTTTCCTGTGTTTTGGTTGTGGACAGAGTTTTTGTCAGAGAAACTGTGTCGTGTTCCTTTGATTGCTCATGATGATGATGATGATGACGATTAGTGTTGCAGTTCACGCTTCTAATTTGCAGCCTTTTTATAATCATTATGAGTCGCAGTCGATGGCTGCTGTCCTGTCGCTGTTGTTTTGTCCTTTGTCTGAGCGTTCCAATGTTCTTTGTCACGGTCTCTCTATGACGACGCCGACGACGGCTAGTGTTACTGCTGCTGATGCTGCTGCTACTTCCTCTGCTACTAGTCCTCATCCCTAAACCCTAGTACTACTACCACCACCAGAACCGAGCATAAAAGAACTGCTCCGCTTACGTGTTGCTACTTGGAAGATATTCCAGGGTTTAGGGTTTAAAGTTTAGGGATTTAGGGTTTAGAGTTTTCACTACTACTGGCACTGCTCTGACAGCTGTTGTTTCGTAGCACACTTTGTTCGCTTATGCCTTATGCGTGCAGGGACTTCGAACCAAACGAGCAACACTTCGGAAACCGACGGTGTGTCGGCATCCACCGGATGGGCCAAGTCAGGCATTCATAAGGAGCACTGCATCTTGATTCATTGATGTCTCAACAGGTATATACCTTCTTGAAGGTGTCTGGCCATGTTTGTCAGGCTTCCTGTAGGAGTACATGTGAGACCTGATCGCACTCTTGCGCCTCCTTCTCTGCCCCAATCCTCAGACCTTCACACCCAAAACCCTAAGCGATCCGACAAACTCCCACAGATCCTATGGACCACATCGATTTGGTTGGAGTCTGTGGCCATCGTGCCGCAGCTGGTCCTGCTGCAGCAGATGCGGGAGGTCTAGCAGTGTTTGCTATCTTTGCGGTAATCAAGGGTACGGGGTTTGTTCGGTGATTTTCGTTCATGATGACTTCCTGTTGCTCTTTTGTTGGGGGGGGGGGAGGGTGGCTTGTCATTCAGGGTAGAGGGCTTGTCGGCTCTACACCCAGCAATTTCGTCGTTGTTTCTAAACCTTATGGCGCTGTCCAGTTGAGCAAACAGCTGGCAATTCCCGAAACCCTAAACCCTAAACCCATCGAAGCTAAACCTAAACCGCCCCAAACCCTAAATACTAAACCCCTAGAAACTAGTCCTAAATCGCCCTAAGTCCTAAACCCCAAACCCATGGAAACTGACTAACGCTAAACCGCCCCAAACTCTAAACCTGAAACCCACAGAAACTAACCCTAAATCACCCAAAGTCCAAAACCCAAAACCCATAGAAGCTAACCCTAAGCCGCCCCAAACCCTAAACTTTAGTCACTAGTCGTGCCAAAAACCCATCACCACCCGAAACCGTAAGCCCAAGCTCAGGGGTTTAGGGTTTAGGAGTTAGAGGCTGCTAGAACTTCTGGAACTGTCAGCCGAAGCAGAAGGATCCCTGAGCAGTAATCAACTCTATGCTGGGTTCTTGCTAAGGGACTTAAAAACTGTAAGCTACCATAACAAAGAAACCTTATTATTGACTAATTCCTGTAATGGTAACTTAAATTAAGCCCTAAACCCTAAACCCTATTATGGTAACTTATATTGAATCCCTTAAAAAGAACCCAGCATGAGCTGACGTGGGAGTTTCAAAGACCCACAGGGCCCCCAAAAGAGTGTAGATACAGGGGCCTTAATAATTAGAATGGGGTTTTGGGTTCCTTTACAGGGTTGCCTAAGTTGTTCTACAAGGGCTACCATAAGGGTTTAGGGTTTAGGGGCCTCATGAATAAGAATAGGGTTTTGAGACCCAGTATACTATAAAAATAACAAGTAACCTCAAAATAGTATTGGTAATTATTTCGGCCCCTACATTACATATTCGGATCGTCTATATACGAGGACCCCCAAAAACAAGGAACACCCAATGTTCGGGAAGCTCGCATTCCTGGCAGGTTGAAAACCTAACGTCCCAGTTCGTTGCCACCATGGGCGCGTGACCTTCGACACCCAAAACCCTAGACCCTAAACCTTGCTAGGCAGCGAGAGAGGGAACCCTGACCCTGACCCCTAAAGCCTGCCTTCCCGCACCGACTCTGGCCCTTAAACCCTATAAGAGTTCTCTAAGTCAGGGTCCCTTCTTTAGGTCCCCCAATATAGTACGGCACCCTCATCAACAGGACCATAAAAGCGACTCTAATTTAGAGAACTACCCACAACACCTTTCCATGAAAGGGAGATGAGCCCTTCGCGGCCTACCGTTCGCAGCTGCTTGTGCTACTGTCGCCCTAGCTAGACCCTGTGTTGTAGTATCTTCGAACATTTCGGTCCGCTGACAGTAGTATCTTCGAAGCTTTCGGTGATCCTCGCAGAAAACGGCTAACCGACGAACAAGCTAGACAATTCAGGGTCTGCGTACCCATAGGCCCCTAAGTAGTTCCTTTTTGGGATTACCTTATAGAATTGTAAACATAAGCCACAAAAAGGAACTACTTAGTGGCCTATGGGTAGCATTCAACTCTGCAGTGTTCTCTCAAGTCTTCTCTCCGCCCATGATCGGAAGATCTCAGTCTTTCTGGCCATGGGGAGTTCTCTAAGTTAGGGTCCCTTTTATAAGCGTGCCGTGCTATATTTGGGGCACCTACAAAGGGATCCTGATTTAGAGAACTATTCCCATGGTCTTCGGACAAGGCTTCCATCATCCCAAATCCGGAATCACAAGATGATAATATAGAGGGTTTAGGGTTTAGGGTTTACAGTTTAGGGTTTGGGGTATGGGGGTACGGAATTTTGCTGGGGTTTGGGTCTTGGGACTTCACCGGGATCCCCGAGCTAGTCGTACCCTACAGTGACTCAGAGCGAGGCAAAGCAGGCGTCTTGAAAGCCACCCCAAACCCTAAACCCTAAACCCATAAACCCTAAACCCTAAAAAGGTACAGGGCCTTCTACATCCTCAACTGGATCTACCGCTACTTTGCCTGGTGCTCAGGGCATGGCAGGGTTTTCCCTAACCGAAGGCCCGCCAACAATTAGAACACTAGTCCTCAGGGTTTGTCATCAACATAATCATCATCACCAGCATCGTCATCATCATCATCTATGTATTATTTGTGTAGTTATTCATGTATGTAGCTATTTACATATGTGTTTATTTGTTGTGCATATATACACGCAGACACTAAGAAGAGGATACTATATATCCAAACCCTATTCTAATTATTTCAATACTATCCTTTTCAAATTCATTTTTATAACTAACTATAGTATAATATGTCCCAAAACCCTATTCTAATCATTCCGTCCACTGCAATACCGCCTCACAGGGGCATAAACGGGCCCTTCCTTTCGGTTTTTGGACAGAAAAGTGCAGCCCCGTTTGGGAATCAGGGCATACCCATTTCGGCTTACGGTTTGCGGTAGCCCCTTTCGTTGAATCACCTTCTTTCGGGTGCCTTCTTTTTAACAAGGAGGTTCTCCTAGGCTCCTGCAACCAAGAAAACAAGTGCAAATGGGATGTTCAGAGCGGTTCAGAATGCGCGTGGCCTCTTTTCATAAGGGCTCGGTACTACAGAGGCAGCTATTACGAATCACCCTTCTCGAGTTGCAAGACGTTGTCAAGTTGATTGCCGACCGAGACAGACCTTTAAGACTTATAGAACTCTGACATGCGTTCTGACCTGCACAGTTTGACGTCGCCAGTTCTAGAATGCATCATGTCAGCATGGGTATTGACCGCTTCAGGCATCAATTGGGAACTAGTATTGCATGTAGCTCCGACGGTTGATGATATAACATCCTTCATTACCCATAATAAGGAATATATATACCATACTTCTCACGGCTGAGGGCCCTTATAAGGTAATGCAGGATTTATGCCATCAGCAGTAGGGCAGCTGCCAGAGGGAAGCCCGAAACCCTAAACCCCTAAACCCTAAACCCTGAACCCAGCTGCACAAGGCAGATGACTACGTCAACTGGGTCGGCTGGGTGGGCGGACTGGTGCAGACTGTCGCTCGTCTGACGACCGCAGAGGGTGGTTCCAAAGTGCAGGGTCCTTGTTGGATCGGTTTGGGGTTTGGGGTGTAGGGTTTAGGGTTTTTTGTTATAATAAAACCCTAAGAAGGATTAAGAATGATCATTTTTAACATGGCCCCAATAGGGCTCCAAAGTAGGGGGGCTGCTATGTGGATTCATAGCGCAGCTTGCGTTGCTTTAGGGTATGTACACGTGTATGCACACATGTGCATATCTACATATACCCATGCGGATGTACAAATAATATATATATATATCTGTGTATACATATATATATATAGATAGAGAGAGCGCGAGAGAGAGAGAGAGAGAGATTTATTCACATGTTGACATATATCCGTGCATGTACAGACATATGCAATTGCATATGATAATGGATGGAAGGAAGGAAGGAAGGAAGGAAGGAAGGAAGGAAGGAAGGAAGGAAGGAGGGAAGGAAGCAGAAAGGTTCAGGATGTAGCAGGCCCAGATTTTCCTCTGTCCAAAGCAAGGGATAGGTTTAGGGTGTGAAGGATTCTAGGGTTTTAGGGCCACTCGGAGTTCCTGGGGTTGTTGAAGCATCCGAAGCTGCAGGCCCAAAAAGCGGGGATGCTCAAGGGTCATGGCCACAACGCTCTGGGTTGCCGGGGTCGGGTTGGAGGATGTAGGAAGGGTTTAGGGTTTAGGGAGCTTGACCCAAGCCCCCTGCCCCAAGCTTCAATTGACACGATGCATTAATCGTAGAACCCTAAATCTGCAGACAGGTGCTCTACGCAGACTTCTTCTACTACTATGCCCGAAGTAAGTGGTACGGTGGGAAGTGGGACTCTCAGTTCTCGGCTTTGTCGTGGTGAGTTCGGGTGAAGGGTGTTAGGCTCTGGGGTCTAGGAAGGGTTTGAGGCTGTTTTTAGGTTTAGGGCTTCAGTGTTATATAGTCCTGGGATTCCGGTTTTTTTGTATAGTATCGTTTCTGGGATCTTCAGCTCACATCATAGTCTGCGGGAAGTGATGCGTTGATCTTTGGCCCATCCACCGTCGCATGTCCGTTTGGCATCGCGGAGGCCAGGTTCAGTCGGTTCGGAGGTACGCTGGCCGCTCATTGCTGTATCTTTGCCTGAGGCACTCATGCCACATGGCTTGCATCCTCTTATCCAGGCGTCGCCACTTGCTATGGTGATCCCACTCCTTGTCCTATAATGTGATCGGGACCACTGCCTGCTGCACCCCAGGCCCGCAATCCTACCAAGTGTTTCTTTCCTCTAGGCTTTTGTCAGCTTTGCAAAGGTGTTTGTTGGGATTCCTTTCTACACTAAACGAGCACTCTACCCGACGCCCCCATGCTAAGACCGCCCGGCCTGGGACTACACAAAGGCCACCTCAAAAGTACCAAAAAGTGCGACCAGTCATTCTGAAACAAAGGTCCCAGGGAAGACTCCAAGGCCCCGTACCAGTAAAAACCTGAAGCTGTACGCTTTGATCCCCACCCTCTCTCCCAGTGGCTTCGAATAACTGGGATCCTGACATGCCAAGGCCCCGGGCAAAAAAGGGGCATGTATACATTTTGGGTCTACATCAGGGCTCCCTCTCTTCGAACCCGACGTCCCCGAATCACAAACCTGCGGAAAAGGTTGGTTTTGCCTGTGGCTACGTGAGCTCAGCTCTGTGCGTCGAAGCGACGCCAGTTCACATTTCTCGCACGGGCCGGCCGCACCTCACCGCCTAAGCCTTGAGCCATCAAGCCTCAACTGCAAAGCAAGGACGCCCACATCGTGGAGCCTTGTAGAGGACTTCAAAGCCAAGCTTCAGGGGCCTGCAGTAGGGTGTCCGATATGACCCACTGTAGACAGAGCCCATGCTCCATGAACTTTGTTTACCCCCCTTGCCATCCAGACCCCCGCGAGGATCTAAAAAAGTAGATCCCCCTAATTTGGGACCTTAACTACTAAAGGGTACTTTACAGGAACCCCCTTAAGGGATCCATTTGTTGCATCCTCCCGGGGGTCTGGGTAAACTCGTATGCCACTTGCCACAATATGAACTTCGGACCCTACTCTCGGTGGTTCAGGGTTTGGGCTCATGATACCGTTACCTGATTCACCCACCTACACCGTATAAATGCCTGAAGCGTATACATATGTGTTTGCTTGTGTACATATATGATTTTTGTAGTGAGAGAGAGAGGGTGTGTGTGTGTGTGTGTGCGCGCGCGCACGTGTGTGTGTGTGTGTGCGCGTGCGCGCGGGTGTGTGTGTGTGTGTGTGTTTGTTTGTATGTATGTATGTTTGTTTCTTTGTTTGTTTGTTTTTTTTTGTGTGTGTGTGTCTGTAGGTGAATACGTCAGGGATCGGCTCGAAGCAACACCGAGGGTTAAGAGTTTCTGCTTCGGACTGTTTATTGAAGCGAGAAAATGAAGACGAACTGCGGCTAGGCTCGACAACCTGTATAACTTGCATACCTTGCATACCGGCTCCGTATTCTTATTGACTTAAGCTGTCTTCCCGACCGCTCCGGACAGTGTACAGGTTGATTTTTTTGCCTTTCCCTGTTCGCTTAAAACCGACAATCCTAAACCCTCAGCTGGAAACCAAACCCTAAACCCTAAACCCCGAACCCCTAACCCCCCAAACCCCCCAAACCCCTAAAACCCTAAACCCCTAAACAGCAGTAATCTCTAGAGTCGAGTTGCGGCCGAGAGCCTCCAAAGAACCTGAGTGGCTCGCACGAGCGCTTTGCTTTAGACTGCGAAGGCCTGCTATGGGGTTGGGGTTTCGGCTTTTTGGCCAGCTAGTTAAGGGTTTAGGGTTTAGGGATCAGGGTTTAAAGTTTATAGGGCTTAGGGGTTCAGGGCTTAGGGTTTAAAGTTTAGGGTTTAGGGTTCAGGGTTTAGAGTTTAGGGTTTGGGGTTCGGGGTTTAGGGTTTAGATGGGGAGGGCATCATTCCTCAGCCCGTTCCTGCAAACCGTGTCACCTGGGTTAGCTGTCTGACCACGGAGGTCATGCGCTCCGGGTAGGTTCAGTTGTTCCCCATGCCAAGACTAAGACTAATTACCAGCTACACCAAAAGCAGGCCTTTGCAAAGCTTTTCATGCGCAGGCTCTAATAAGGGCCTGCCCCGAGCCACAACAGCGAGACAGGCAGCAGCAGGTGGCGGTGATCCGAGCTTTGGTGAGAGCATAGCTAATATTCCTTTGTGCAGAGCCGGATTCCCTTCTCAGCTTTGGCCGTCTTTGATACAGAAGAGTGGAAGGCTTGCATGATTCAGTGCAGGTATGATCCGTGTTTGTATGAACCGTACAACTAGCATGCGAGAACTTTAAAGGTATTCAATGTTCATCTCGCTAACGTGTATTGCAGGGTGTGCTTTACTTACTTTACTTAGTACTGCTGTAGGCAGAGAGGATATACCAGTGGCTTCGCTCTGCCACAAAAAAAGCGTGGCCAAGCTTGCAAGTTCTGGGATTCTGGGAGAGTTTGTGAACCTCGCCGTGCCACCTCCAACCCTCAACCATACGGGCTAAGGGTTCAGGGCTAGGGGCCGAAGATGCAGCGTTTGGGGTTTAGGGGAGAGCCCTAAAGAAAGCACCCTGCTGTAGTTGCAGCTGGCTCCCTTTCGGAACCCGTAGTCGAGGCCCCTAAGGCTCCTAAGGATCAGATTCAAAAACCGCAATTCACACCTAGACCCTCCATCTACCCTCTATTAGACCCTAAGTGCCCTTAATTTGGGACCATATACCCCTATTTGAGGGTACAAAGAGGGTCCTGGCAAGCTTGAATAATTAGCCCATACTACGCCTCAGGATTCCTTATATACCCTAGCTCCAGGGTTCAACACACCAAGACACCCTTGAAGCTATCCGGGCCCCCCCCCAATAGTTACCAGAGCTTGCTATCTAAGCTGTGGGAGTCTGCCCGGACCTTCCCATCATTTTTGTCGATTTCGAGCCCATGAGCGCAGTAATTTGGAGGTTTAGGGCTTAGGGGGTCCCTTGGGTTTAGGGCTTAGAGTTTAGAGGGTGTTCAGGGCGTTCGGGTAGCGGAACCCCAAAACCCCACTCTAATTATAAAGGCCCCCTCTATAAAACTCTTCAGCCATCACCTCGGAAACAACCCAACGCGGAGCTTTTGACCGGCATTGCCGCGCTTTAGGGAAGCTTTGCCACCATCCTGCAAGGAAGACCTAGCTGCAGTCTACTATAGGGGTCGGAATGGTTCTGTTATGGCCGCCGAACCCTACTAGACCCTAAACCCTGGCCCTAAACCCTGGCCCTAAACCCTAAACCCTAACCCTAAACCCTAAAGAAAACACGTATGCTTCACTATGGTCGAAAATCAGATTGCAGGTTTAGGGTCCCCCGGATCATGGTCCTGGCGTGGTTGTGTTCTCATGGCTGTCGATGTTGATTTTTTTGGCGTGGTCGAGGGTTTTTTGGGATTTTAGCTCTAGGAAGGTTTCGGGGTTGAGTTTTGTTGAGTAGAATCCTACACCCTAAACCCTATGTTGGGCAGGTTGAACATCTTGCTTGTCTGGCCTTTCAGGAGACCAAGCCGCTCAACCCCTACAACCCGGGAGCCCTCAGGCCCTTCAAAGGGCTCCAAGGGAGGGATGAAGGCAAGTGGGGCAATCCCAAAATAAGAGTGCTTATTTAGGGGATTCTAAATGCTACCTAAGAGTCCTTAGATAAGGGATTCTTAATCCTAGCTACCTTCATCCCGCCTTTTCAACCCTAAACCCTAAACCCTAAACTTACTAAGCTCTATAAATAGCTCCAAGCCTAGGCTGTGGAATCCTCGAGGCTTCAAAAGAGACTCGAACTTTCTAGCCATCAAGGCAAGAAGCCCCACGACTCATCCCTCCCAACTTCTCCCCCACCCCTGTCAGAAGATCCCTAAAGCCTCTAACCCTTAAACCCCCCAAAATCAGGGATAAACACACATACAAAGCAGCGCTGCACTTGTTGGCTGCGTGCTTCGGCCACAGCGCATGCCTTGGCGACGGCTGGTGGTGTCCAAGCGGCTGGCGAGGCTCCATGGCACTCCCGCTTTCTTCCCGGAAAGGATCCGAAGCTCTTGTTTTCAGAGGGTTCAATACAGGGACCGAAAGAATTACGAACAATATTTTGGGGTTCACACCTTTTTTTGAATGTCGTGTAGTATCCCCTAAACCTTAACCTCCATATTATCAATGTAGTATTGTATACCCCGAATCCCGGCATCATTGACAAGCTTAGAGCTTAATTTGCTGTGAGAGTTGTTGTTCAAGAGGGTGCACCTGTCACTTTGCTTCTCTTTGCTTGCCCCGAAGTTCAGTCCGCTACGCCCCAAAACCCCATTCAAATTGTTAAGGCCCCTACACTGGCTATACTAGTCTGAGGTGAAAATCTGCAGGTTCCCGTGGCCGCTAGACTAGAGTGATTTGAGAGCTTGTGTAGTTTACGGGTTAGGGTTTAGGGTTTAGGGTCTGGGGGTTAGGGCTTTAGGGTTTGGGAGTTCTCACTTCCTTCATGTCTGAGCCATTCCGACCATGGATCACCGAACCCTACTCAGCCAGCAACACCTCCGCAGATCCATCCTGCAGATCTTCCTGGAGAAACCCTAAACCCTAAACTCCAATCCGCAAGCCCTAAGATCCTAAAACCTAAACCTCAAACCCTGAATCCTCTTAACACCTCCACAATCTTCCTGGAGACCGCAGCTACCTCAAACTCACAGTTCGGTATCTTATTGCATGGCCCTGTCTCCAAGAAGGCTGTTTTCCGGTCTAGCACCGCAGTTACGTATATAGTGGGCTACAGGGTTTCATATGGTATGGTTAGTAACCTACTATCTAGGTAACTGGAGCGCCCGGATTCGGTAAGCATCGCTTTCGGCACTTGGTCTTTGGCGCTGCATCCCGGATCAAGGAAAGAAAGGGTTGAAGCAGAGTGGGGCCCTGCAAGGCTCGGTGCTGCCTTGAGGGTGGGAGCCTGCCCGCCATGACAGCGATGCGTGGCGGCATGGATTCGGTGGGAGATAAGAATCACGTGATCGGGAGCGTCTGCCGAAACGACCGCAAGGGCTTCGGCGACATCAGCGACATCACCAGGCAAGCCAAATGCATGAACAGGGATATAGAGCGGCGGGATGTCGAGAGGTTCCTAGGAGCCCACAGTGACAGTGGTGCTGCACTGGATGATATCGTACGACAAAGGCGACGGAACACTGGTGCTCCCGCCTACCGCTTGTTTAATCGCACTGAGCCTGAGCGTCGAGAAGTGGAGTGGGCTCGCCCTCCCTTTGCACATCCCTGCCGTGCAACATGTGATGAGTACAACAGGAAAGAGATCATGATGTCAGCCTTGCATCTCGAGCGATCGAACTCCCTGCGCCCGCAGAGTGCGGGCGCAAAGTCCATGCCCAACAGATCGGAGCCGAAGACAGAGATCAAACGCCGTCCTGCCAGTGCGGCTGCATCTCGGAGCTCGTCTAAATCTGCAGCTTCGGGCTCTGGCCTAAGCAAACTTACGCCAGCCCTCCGCTTGGAGGTACAGAAGGTAGTGGCTTCTCAAGTGGAAAAGATCGTGCAGCCATTGAAAGAGCAGCTGGAGAAGGAGCGACTGACCAGGCAACGCCTAGCTTTGTCTCTAAGTAGCCTGTAGGAAAACGGAAGGACCTGAGCCAAGTCGAAGCGAATCATGTTGATGTTATTCTTGGATTCTTTGCTGCTCGTCGAAAGTCGACATAGCAATGCTCGGGCAGTAGTATTCACAGCCGGGCTTTAACCTTTTCTCTACAGTAATATATACACACACTCTCTGTCACAATTCAATGCATACGTTCATTATCATGTACAAGTAAGTGTATACCCTAAACCCTAAACTGAACCCTATTACCGACAGCCACAAGTAGGTGTATACCCTACACGCTAAACCCTCTATATTACATACACGGCTTCAGGACCGCCATGTTGTCCCCGTGGGGATCCGATAGCTTTTGAGCCCCCGCCTTGACGTTCGATCGCCTGCTCTCTGAGATGCTAAAGGCATCAGAGTTAGCATGGCAGAAACATCGGGTTTAGGGTAGAGGGTAGAGGGTTTAGGCGGTTTGGGGCTTTGGGGTATAGGGGTTGAGGATTTGGGGTTTAGGGTTTAGGGCTTCGGGTAGAGTATTTAGGGTGTAGCGAAAAGGATTTACGGTTCTGGGTTTAGGGTGACATAGGAGACGTTCAACATCCCTAGACATCCCTAAAGCCTAAAGTCATCTAAGCTGTTTTGGGGTGCACGGTTTATACTTGTGGCAGGGTGACAAAATCCATGCATAAAATTCGACGCCAGGCGGAGGGACGAGTACAGTTGTGCAATGCACCCCTCAAGGGGGATCTGCCACACTGCACAACAACCTGTCAACACGACGGAGCTAAGACAACGTGAAGTTTCAGCTGGTGAAGGCTTCGAAAAAACAGAACAATGCTTGACACTATTTTTGTAGGAGGCTTATCTGTATGAAACCTGGATGTAAATATACTACTGTCTACCTCAACTCAACATCGTGTTATAGTTTTTAAGGCCCCTATATTAAACCCCTAACCTTAGCCCACAACCGCTTCAAGTTTCTAGATGCCAGAGTCATCCGTCTTGTTGGCGGTGGGGCTTCCGGGATGTTCCGCTTTGCTTGTTTATGTGGGAAGGGGGCTGAGGGGGTGTGGGTTTGGGGAATGAAGAATTCTTGGATACAGGGCTGTTTTGGGTTGTGAATTGAAACCCTTCCTCCAAAACCCCAATCCCTAAACCCTAAACCCTAAACTCCTAAACCCTAAACCCAAAGGCCCTGAAGGTATAGAAGTTCAATCTTTTGAGGTTGAGACCTATCCTGGGCCCTTGTTGGATACATTTTTACATTTTTGTCAAAATAAAACCCCAATCAGGATTAAAAATGATCATTTTTAATACATCCCCAACAAGGAACCAGTATCGGACCTTGAGCCTTTTGTGAACGCAAGAAGACCGAAATCCTGGAAGCCGAATCCGGAGCCGGAGACCCTTCCTCCCTCAAAGCCTACATCCCTAGAAGCTTGGGGTGTAGGGTCATGGGTTTAGGGTTTGGGGTTTAGGGTGTAGGGTTTTGGGGTTAGGGTTTGGGCTGTTTGGGTTTAGGGTTTTGGGTCTAGGACATACTGTGTTACTGAATGCCCCATCCTTTAAATCGCTCATCTATTCTGCATGCCCGTATCCCTGGAGCCTCGACCCAAAACGCTGCAGTGCCTGCAAGCCTTGAGTACTACAACCCAGCTCCCGTGGTTACACCTCCAGACCTTTTTGGAATCTATAGAACCCTCATAGAACCCATGGACCTCTTCTAGGACACCCATCCCTAAACCCTAAACCCTGAAACAGAATCGATAGCCCCTATCAGAGCCCCAACGGAGCCCCCGATAGGACCCCCATAGAACCGGATCGATAGACCCTAACCTTGATGGATTCTCCCTTCAGACCTTTATAAAGCCTTCACCAAATCTAGGACCGTCCCTTATAGTGGACCCTCATAGGACCGAGAAGACAAAAATCCCGAATTTTGGGGGCCTTCGACAATTAGAATAGGGTTTTGGGGTACAATAATTATACTATCATTGTACTAAGGAACCCCCAAAATAGTTTTGGTAATTATTTAGGCCCCTATATCAAGCATATTATTAGACACCCGGGAAGGGAAACTCCGGACTAAAGCGACCTCACCGGGGCGAACAGGCTGCAGCTGTACCGTTCCCTGTTGTCCGGCGGGTGCCTGAAGGGGTGCATTCTGTTCTTTTGCGAGGGGTTAGGGTGTAGGGCCGTTTAGGGTTCATTCTGGTGGGCTCTAGGGTTTAGGGTTCAGGGGTTCATGTTGGCAGATGCGGGAGAGTTGAGTTCTGAAGGTTTGCTTCGGTCAGAGAAGAGCGCTGCGTGGATACAGCCCGAAAAATTCGCGGGGCTGCACCCCGATAAGGTTGAAAATCCACATCAGACGGAAACCGCCACACCTGAAAACATACAAAAACCGAGGACCTGAGCCCTAAACTTCCGCTCCTACGGCCCGAAGCATCCTGGAGCCCTTTAAAGCGCCACCCGGTGTTTGCCTCACGCCCCTTTTTTTGGAGACCCAAGGGTCAGAAAGCTTCCGGCCCCGAAGTCCCAGGCCGACTGCGCCGAGACAGAAAGCCGGCGCGGAGCAACGACGCGGCTCCGGCCCTGGGTGCTGATCCGACATAGAGGCATAGAGATAACGATGTATATAACTACATACACATACATATGCATATACATATACATGTACATGTGCATATATATATATACATATATATATACGCATACATACATACATACATACATACATTAATCACATACATTTGTTGCACACATACATACATAAATCACATGCATACATACATACACACATACATACATGCATGCATGCATGCATGCATACATAGATACATAAATACATACATACATGCATGCATACATGCATGCATGCATGCATACATGCATACATACATGCATGCATGCATACATCCATGCATACATGCATACATAGATACAAAAATACATATATACATGCATGCATACATACATACATGTAGATGTGCATAGGCTCGAGGTTCAGACACGGTCTGTGGGTTTGCATTTCGCCTGGAGTGGCTGGAGGTCGTATCAGTATTATCACTACTGTCATGTTCGGTGCTGTCGTTATGATTGTTGTTATTCTTCGCATTATTATTACGATTACTAATAGTGTTGTCACTATTTTATAATATAACATATGCCTGCCTGGAAACAAGGGGATACTGTACAAGGACTATGAGAAGATACTATCTGTATAGGAACTATAAGGGGACATAATGTAAGGGGATACGGGATACTAAGAGGACTATAATAAGAGGTAAGCCCCTAAACCTTTAAACCCCAAACCCTATATCCTATATCCCTATACACCCTAAACCCTAATATCGATGCTTCAAGGGGATCTTTCCAAGTGCGGCGCACGGGGAGGGCCTTTGGGCGCATAGAGGCTTCTGAGCGAGTCCAGCGTGGATCCGGTTGTGATAAACCCTCGGTAGTTTTAGGGAGACCCCTTAAATGGCGACCCTTCTGAACCCCACTTCTGGGTCACGTAAAAGGGACCTTATCGAGAGGGTCTATCTCCCCAAAAGTCCCCCTAATCCTAACTCCTAGCTAAGGTCCGGATTCGTGTTGAACTTGCGGCACGGTTCAGGGTTTGGGGGAGTTTAGGGTTCAGGGTGCAGAGAAGTGTAGGGTTCAGGGTTTAGGGAAGTTTAGGATTCTGGGGTCGATGACCTATCTTTGTCTTGCCCATTCTCGCCCAAAGCATCAAAGGCTCTTAATCTTGGCTCTTCTTACGGGATATAATTTAAGTTGCTATAAGAAGGAAATCGTATTGTTTACGTTGGATCCCTAGTATGATGACTTAAATTAAATCTCTTAGCAAGAACCCAGCAATGTTCCGGCAGTGCCCGTTCGCAAGAGTTCTTGTAAACTTCTGGTGGCCATGTCCAAGTCTGTGTTACACCATCAAATCCTAAAGATTATGATATGGATCACATGCCCTGAAACATCCTAAACCCATCAAACCCCGAACCATAAAACTTAAAAGCCTAAAACCTAAAAGACCCCAAACCCTGAAACCCCAAACCCTAAACCCTATACTCCTAAACTAACCTCAAGCCCTAAGCCCCAAAAGCAAACAAACCCTAAACCCAAAGCCATAAACCCTACATCTTCCCCCCCCCCCCACTCACTGTACGAGGCTGGGCTCCGACAGCTACTGCGCCGCGCTGCTCCACAGCTGGTGGCCGGCGATGCACCGCACCAGGAGCCCTCTCTCGCCAAGGTTTAGCGTTTAGGGTACTAGTAGGCTAGGTTTATTATGGAGGCTTAGCAGGCTTATAGGGCTTATAGGGCTTCAGGGCTACATATAGGGCTTACTTAGGATTACAGGGCTTATAGGGTTTATAGGGGCTTTCGTGGCTTGTAGGGTCTTCAGGGTTTTTCGGCTCATACGGTTGATGATATAAATCCTGCATCACCCATCATAAGGAATGTACCCATAATTCCCATAGTTTAGAGACCTTAAGGTAGTGCAGGGTCTACATCATCAACAGTAGGGCTTCAGGGTCTAATTGATTGAGGCTTGATCGGGTTTGTTGAATTCTATGTTGTTTGCCAGGTTTTCGAGTTTATGGGGTTTAGGGCCTTAAAGGAACCCCTCAGAGGAATCCTTAAAGCCTTAAACCCTAAAGTTTATGGGGTTTAGGGCTTTGGGGTTTTGGGGTTTAATTTAAGGTTGGGCTTGTGGGTTACGGGGCTGCAGGGTAATTTAGGGTGCAGGGTTTTGGGGTTAGTGCTTGGGGGGAGTATAGGGGTCTATAAGAGTTCTGCATAGGTTTGCTATCAAGCATCCTCTTCTTTATATGGCTTTTGCAAGGGTTCTGTAAGATTCGTTCTAGAGGTCCTAAAAAAGCCGTGCGGGCTTTATGGTTTACACATCCCAAACCACACAAGAACTCTTCTGGACCCTGAAGAGCCCGCCCACGAACATTACATGTGATGAACTCCCGCGTCATGTCGCCCTCGCCTTCGGCAAGCGGTGTAACTCTGCGTTTGAT